ATCAGTTCTTCCTTTGAGAAAGAATGTTTAGTAAAGTTACTAATGCGTTAGTATCAATGACTTTTTCTTTGGGGTGGGGGCATCCTTCTGAGATCACACAGTTTGGATTTTCTTCTTTAAAAAAATCTTAATTGTTCATGACCAAAGGAGAGAAGCATTACTGCAAGTAAATATATGGTGGTGGAAAGAGAAAGTAAAGTATTAAGCTAATAATAGACCTTCCAAAAAGTCATGTTACATGCTAAGATAAAGTAACACAAAAGTGAGGAATACTTCCACGTTTAAAGTTATTAATACCTAGCAAAAATCACATAGACAAAGAAAAAATCAGGCAGCAAATTAAATAAAGGTAAAAAGAAGCATTTTAAATAAAAGAAGCCAGAAAAAAATATATATATAAACAATCCGTTAATATAAAGATATATTTAAAAAAAAAATTGCACTTTAACATAAAGATTTATTTCATTTGATCTAATCAGGAATGATCTGTTCAGAAGCAGGATCTCTTTTGAAAGGGAGTCCTTAGTAAGATAGGTATTTTATACATCTGCACTGCAAAAATACAACAACAACAACAACAACAAAAAACAAGACAGAAAAGACAAAAATGGTTTTCCTCATTTGGTGCATGAATCTGGCTTTATTTATTTATTTATTTATTTATTTATTTATTTATTTATTTATTTATTTATTTATTTATTTATTTATTTTTAGAATTAGAAGCTTTTCAAATGACCAGGTGTCATAGATTATATTCTAAAAGATCCCCAATTCAATGTGCTAACTTTGAAAAATGAAGTTAACACACATCTTTAAAAATGAAGAAATCGTTGTGTTTTTCAAAGTCATTTAAATATCTTACCGACTGACCAAAAAAGTCCTGCAAGTTCCAACAACACCACGATTACATGATTTAAAATAACAATCTAAAGGAAAAATGCATATGAAGATTTCACTGCTTTTAAAACAGAAAAAAAAAAATTTATTCATCATGCTGCTGCCAAAATACCATGGCAGATAATTTTTATTAAAGTTGCAATTTAACCTTTATTAATTAACTATGTTTTAATTGTAATACACTGATAAAAGCAAAGGTTAAAAAAATATTTTCTTTAAAGAGTACCAAGACCAATAACAAGCTGATATTACATGGATAGATGCTGCTCATAGCTGTAGTTTAAGACAGAATTATTTTAACAATGGAGAAACTTGGAAGTTCCTCGCCTCTATTTCCAGTAAGCAAGACATAAGTGTAGAAGCCATCTTTCATCTAACTAATTGGAAGTGCAAAGCCTCCAGAACAGAACTGCTGCTTTGCTCCTAGTACACATTTAAATTAAGAAAAAGAAAAAAAAAACTCTCTTTCATTTTCAAATTTCTTTAAAGAGGTGTTAAACTGAATGTTTTCTTTTTTCAATAGCTGCTTAAAGCTCTGTGAACTGTATTGTTGGCAACCAGCCCATGGCTCATTTCACCCTTTTCCACTTGTAACAAAGTTGTAGTTTCAGGTAATGAAGGAATAATAACCAAGATCTGATATTGTGAAATAAACATAAAAAAAATTAAAATCTAATCTATTCAAGAAGTGATGAGAGACAAAGTTATCTGCTGGTTTAGGGCTCCAGTCACTTTTATTGACAAATAGTGAAAACCTTTGTCTGTAAACCTTTCCAGAAGTGGCCAGCCTATTACTCTGAGAGTACATCAATACCTCATACAGGAGATCATAACAAAACCCAGAACGGCATCTTAAGCAGTGTAGACCTCACCCTGCCTCAGCTATAAGGCCACGGTTAATATACGAGACAAAAGAAAAACACGGTCCTCGAAAATGGACTCAACAGTGATGACCACTGCTGATCAAAAATAACGCAAAGGACCATCTCACACTGTTCATGAGACTTTTAGGATATTAACCCAGCAAACGTGGGACATTTTTGGAAGTTTTACACTTGCTATGTATGGTGCAAAACCAACAAAGAATTACGAAAAGTCAATTGACAGCTGATCCTAAGAAGCCAAATATTTTGCAGATTTT